TCATGGGCCCAAAAGGCACTTCATGGCAGGCATGACTACAACCTAGCTCAGGACTATGTTGACAAAACTGTAAACTATTGGCTAACTATAGGCTGTCTGTTTGGAGAGACTAAGGGATTTATAGTTGCCATTCAAGATCAGACCATAAACACTAAAAACTACAGAAAACACAGTTTGAAGAATACATCACTCATTCTGACAGAACCAATATAACATATAACTTCTGGTTCCAAGCTATTAGCACAAACTGTCTATTTATACAGGTATAATCAAATAGCAAATATAATACTCCAAGAGCTTGCATACAAACACAGATTATTAAATACCCAGGTACCATACTATAAACATACTCTACAGGCAGTATTAAAAAATGACACACAAAATATACTATGGCAGAGCCATAATCACATAAAACAATTCATCACAATAGACCTGATATTATTCATTGACGAATGCAGTAAGATTGCTTATATAATAGATATTTCCATTCCAAATACCCAGAACATAAAAAATGAACACACTGAAAAAATCAACAAATACACTCCACTCGCTCAAGAAATATAACAGCGTAAAGGATGGATAAGGTATTTATTGTACCTGTTATCCTCTCTTCTACTGATGTTATACCATATACACTACACAAAAGTCTAGAAACATTAAAATCATAATAAAAACATATATATGACACTACAGAAAGTTGCAATATTGAATGCATGTCACACTGTTAGGAAGTTTCTAGATGTTGACACATATACCACTAACACAGCTTAATTGAATTTAGTCTGGCATAGCACTTGGCACCAGTATCAGCTGAGAATGACAATCACAACATAATAATAATAACTTTTTTTAAAATAAAAAGACATAGTTTGGAGAATACACATAAACAATGTCAGTTAACGCAAAGTTAACTGACATTTGGTCCACCCCATAAAACGACAGTCAAATCTAAAATGACACGAAAAAACTTTTCTAATGTCTTCTTAAAAAATAAAATAATAAATTTATATTCTACTAGAGTTTATTTATTTAAAAACGATTTTATTCGTATCACGATTAAGAACAGAAAACAATGTATCAAAGAAGATAGTTGTCTTTATGAAAGATGGAGAATTGTGCTTCATCCATTCGTAAATGGATAGACAAGCCAAACGTCTCCACTAGAAGATAATACTCGACGCTTGCATCCAACTATATTCTTTGTTTTCTTTTTTTTTATTGTTGTTGTTTTTTCTTCATTTCCCCCTCCTCCTTTTTTTTGGACGGTTTATCTTCCAGCCGTCAGGATCGAGTTATATCAGTGGACAGAAAGTCATGTCCAGTTATATAAGGTTTATGAGACAGTTACGGAAACTTTCTCCAACAGAGACAACAATTTCACAGAAGAAATGAAATGGGTTGACTGTCGGTGCCTGCGGGAGTGTCTACTCCACCCCCTAAAATGGGGACAAAAGAGATTAAAGGGATCTCTTCCCTATCGATCCGAAAACGGGAGTAAAGTGCTNTTCTATGCCTTGACTCTGGTCCAGCATAGTACACAGCCACTGGTATCAACCAAGTATAACCCATTAAATACTGTATAATAATAATATAATAATAATAATAATAATAATAATAATAATAAAAAATGTTAATAATTTATTACAAATTATTATTAAATTTACTAGGTCATAGAATGTATTTTATGCAATAAAGTATATTCAATAACAATTAACAATCAAGATATTTAAAACTAAGGTTAAAATAAATTAGTTTAAAAAAAAACACTAATAAATTTATATTAAAAAAACCTAATAATTTAAGAAATTAAAATACAGTAATACCTCAGGATACGAATACCCCAACATACGAAATTTTCAGGATACAACATGAAATTCGAACATATTTTTGCTCCACGATACGAACAAAAACTCACCATACGACGTTACATTAGTTTGCAGCGCCATTTTTTATTCACTTCTGTTCATCGGTCTCAGTCCGCATGTTTGCTTCGTCGTGGAAGGATCTCGCTCGATAAAGGAAATCTTGAGGTATTAACAGAAAGTGACTGATTTTATTAAAAAGAAGCATCCCGACAAGGTTTACACTGGCCGTATTGCTGCTCTGAGTAATGACATTTGCCTAAGTCATTTTAGAAACATTTTAAAAAGTAGGCAAAGCCAAACCTCTTTGGATAGATATTTTACCAAGCGACCTCTATCCAGGTGAGAGTGCTGGTGGAAGTGAAGGAAAGAAAGCAAAAAAGCAGTGAATAAAGATTTAAAAAATATATATAAAACAACACTAATTTTTTAATCTTTTCTAAGTTATTTTTAAGTTATTGTTACATTATGTTATGTAAGTTAAGTTTTAGTATAATTTCCCTTCTCCCTCTCTTCTGCCACCAGTTTACACCTCCACTGTCGTCTATCCTCAAAGGTAAAGTGCAAATATAGCTACATTTTTTTTATCAATTATTATTCTATTATGGTTATTTATACATTTACAACTACAAAATGCATTTTTCAGTGTTTTCCTTACTAAAGTTACTTTTTTTAATGTACAACTTAGCTTTAATTTGAGTGTGTTTTTCATGTTGGAATGAATTATTTGGTTTTACATGTAATCGTATGGGGAAAAATGATTCACCTTATAACATTTTCATAATATGATCTCAGTTTTGGAACAGATTAATTTCATATCCTGAGGTACCACTGTAATATATTTTTTATTATCAAATTACTTCTATAAATTAGCCAAATTTTTTCTTAATTTAATATCATCATGTCGATCTTATTTCTGAACTTTAGTTCAATATTGCTTTTACCAGTGCCGTAACTAGGCAGGTGCAACAGGTGCACCCGCACAGGGCCCGCTTGAAAGAGAGGCCCAAAATGCATGTATTTGTTTTATTACTTTCCCAAACCTAATTAATTAAGGGGCCTAAATACAAATTCCTGCACAGGGCACAGGAATGGCTAGTTACGGCACTGGCTTTTACTAATGTTTTTCTTTTTATAACCACCTTCTTTGATATTTCTTTCTTATAATATAATATATAAATATATATATATTTGAAGGATTTATAAATATTAATTTATAACAAAAGATATTTTAATTAATATTTTATGAAAAATGTATATCATTTTAATAATAATTAAAAATGTATTAAGAAAAATGCTAATTAAGATATAATCAATATCCTTATTAATTAAATCTTGTTTATTTAATTTAAAATAAAAAAAATAAATTATAAATTATTTTACTATAACAATGCTATATCTTGTATTTATTGCATTTTCTACAATATATTTTTTTTTACAAATGAGCTACAGCATGAAATTAAAAACATTAATTATTTCCTTCTCTGTTATCTTAATTTAACACTATTTTTATTATGAATGTAAATGTAAAACTAAATAATATAATTATTTAACTTAAATTTATATCAATTTGTTTCTTTATTAAAAATTTTGATTGTAAGTTTTAAGATAAGATAATATCCATAAATTTACTGATGTATTATTATTTTTCTTATTTCTTCTATTAATTAATAATTGTATAATTGATCTATTCCATTATAACATATTATAGTAAAAAATATTTTATCCATTTTTTATTTTATAAATATTTTTATGAACATTATTTAATGAAAATAATTTTTAAAAAATAAATAAATATTAAATAACCAGAATTATTGTTTTACACATTTATAAGAGACAAAAAATATTTTATTTTGGATTATTGATTTCAGAACCTTCAATTCCATCAAGGGCCTGAAGATGAAATTAAAGATTCCGAAAATTCAAACTAAAACTTTTTCTGACTCCTATAACTGTATAAAGTGACAGTTTTAATTAATTGTAAATCATAGTCATTCAAATCAGTTAAAATAAACATACAAGACATATTTTTAAAGTAAGTACTGTTTTGATATTAAAAAAACACAACTGCAATTTTTTAAATAACTTTATTCTTACATGAAAGCCTTTATCTTAATCTACTTTTCAACATAATTTCCTGCAACGTGAAGACACATTTTATATCATACAACCAGTTTATGAATTCCATCCTCATAGAAACCTGCTGCCTGATTTGCCAACCACTGCAGCACGGCACTTTGACATCATCATCATCATCACATTCATCATAGTGCTGACAGCCAAGATGTCTTTTCAAGTGAAGAAATAAGTGGTAGTCACTAATCACTAGATCAGGACTATATGTAGGGTGATCAAGTTGTTCCCAGCCATATGATGTGTAAGATCTCAAATTCGTTGAGCCACGTGTGGATGGGCATTGTCATGAAGCAAAACAATCCCCTTACTGAGCTTGCCACGCTTTTTGTTTTGGATGATGAAATTGTAAAGCATCTGTTTTCTTGAACTTTTGGAACAACTTTCTGCACCAAGTCTTCAGTAATGACAGCCTGCTATGCTCCTCAACATGAACATTAGTATGGCTATCCTCAAATGCTCTAACCCATTCCATCACTCATAATGTTTTTCCATACACCTCACTAATCTGCTGATGAATATCAGCTGCTTTCATGTCTTTTGCATTAAAAAAACGAATCACTGCACATATTTTACAATTGGCTGGATTTTCAATTGTCTGAGGCATTTTAAACACATGCAAAGAAACATAAAACAAATGAATGCTTCCATAATTGCGTCTGTGGCTAGCCTACAGATGTAGGTACTCAGTGCACATTCATGGAACACCAACCGTAACATTGCAGCAGTCCTATTTTAAAACAGTACTTACTTAAAAAACACACCACATAAAATTAGAATAAACTTGAAAATTTAATTAAAAAATGCTCCTATAACATTGCTTTTCTTACATTTTCCATTTAAATATATGTAATTTTATTATAAAATTTTAATAAACAATAAAATTAACTTATTGATTATTTAACATATTTTAAAATCATATTCAATTATTTTACGAGAATAAGCTATAAAATGTTTAATAAAAATGAACTAAATATACAATTAGAAGAAAACTATTGAACTCACCTCCATCATAACACAACATATCTGATAAATACATTTAGTAATTGCATCTGCAGTGCCTGATACAGTCACTGCTCTTTCAGTAGAATTGGGTAACATTTCACTAGCAACTTGAATGGATGCTCCAGTAACCTGTATTATCAAATATAAATAAGATTAGTTTTACATACAGATTATGTTGCTAATTTAACATTTAAAAATCAAAATTTTATGTAATTATATAAATTTGATATAATTAATATCAAATTAATGAAATTATATAACTACATTTCAATGAATATTAATCATACCTTAAATTAAAAATATTCATTTTACTCTGAAATATTATTACATAAATGTATTCCAAAGAAAAAAATAGTATAAGGCTAAACCAATCAACTCTGTCAAAAACAACAAAAATCAATAAGATTCAATTTGAAACTACGTCATTGGTTTTTACAGAAAAGATAAATCCAATTGAAATCTATAACTGTTTTTATTAGTTTGTTTTCAGTATATAAAAGCCAATAGAAAATCAATACACAGATTAAGAAACAAAAGATTTTTTTAACTTCAAAATTAAACAACTACAAATCTTTACGATGCGATATTAAATAAAATTATCAAGAAAAAATTCCCACAAACGTTTTTGAACCAATTTAAGGTTCTTCATCAGGTGAAAAAACATAAATACGTAAAAAATCATTCGATGGAATACAAAATTTGAAAGAGATTCAATTAATGAAATCAATGAATCCTGCAGCTGTCGTCATCAACAGGCATGCGCATTCTTCCGAGGTAAAAGTTTTTTATTTATATAGAATTTTGTCCGTCGTATATAAGCGTTTGCCACGCTAGGGATAGAGACAATTCATCCTTATTGTTAATACACTTGTTGTCATGGGCCGCTTTATATATACAAATCGCTTCGATCCATCTCAGATGCTCGGTATGAGATGTGGTGTGGATGATCCTGGCTTCGTTAAATATTGGATGGATGTCTGGATCCGTAGCATAACGAGCCAGTGCAGTAGTTACTCTTTTGTGCTGTATGTCAGCCTTGTGCTCCTTTATTCTGACACCTAACGAGCACTTAGTGGAGCCAATGTATAATAATTCTTCATTACACCTATGATCATTCAATGGGATGACAATGTACTCCCGATAGCATGTCATTGTTGGGAGCATCCTTAGCATTACGGAGTATATTAAATACAGTAGGACATCTCCTGTATGTGATGTTGATGTGTTTCTTTTTGGCAATCTCGGAGTACAGCTTTTGTAAACACGGGTTGTAAGTGACAGGAACTCTGTCTTTAGGATCTGGTCTTTCTTCTTCCTGCAATGTAGCTTGTGCGGATACTTGTGGATGGTGTAGTTTCCTGGATAAGTTATTTATAAGGTTGTGATAACCATGGCGTTTCGCTATATTAGATATGATTCTAAGCTCAGATTCTAGAGCACCTATCGTTGAGGAATGAGTGTAGGCTCGCTTAATTAAAGTGTTGAACACTGCCATTTTATAATGAAAAGGATCACACGATCCTATTGGTATGTATAGCGGTTCTGCATTAGGTTTTCTGTATACTTTTTTAACTTCAGTTTAAAGTTGCCAAACTTTATTAAAACAAGAAAATTTGCCTTTATGATTATATTAGATTAACTAATATATAATAGAAACTTATTAATCTGGCACCTAATGGTACCAGAATGGTGCCAAATTATCAAAATGCTGAATTTACTGAATAGTTTTATATTTTTTCAAAATTTGATAAATTTTGAATGTTGCCGACTTTGCTGTTTATTTTGTCCATCACAAACTGTTGTATATTTTTAATTTATTTGCACTTGCTCTTTAATTAGTATTTAGAGAATATACTGCATTATTATATAGTTTTAAGACTGATTGAAAAATCAGAAAAAATATTAATGAACACACAATTTATTGTACAAATCAACATTCACAATAATTTGTGTGTATATAATATTTATTTTCTAGAATATATTGTAAATGTATAATTCAAAACAGCTACACATTCTTTCAATATGAGAAATTTGACTTATGGCAATATGTATAGTGCACCACCTCCACTTCACCTTGATTTCCACCTGATATCTTTAATGTACCTTGTGTCTAAAATTCTGATTCTCACAATACTAACATGTTGGATTATTATTGAACAATTCCGGATTATCACCTACTTCTCAGAAAGTGCTAGATTACCAAACATTCTGAATTATCAAATTCCAGATTATTTGCTGACTTCTAAAGTTTGATTTATTGAAAAACAGATTTTATATAAATTAGATTCAATAAGTCTAATAATCCATTATAACCATTATAATTGTAATTGGACTAGTACAGAATTATTTAATCTAAATGTTACTAAGATTTAACAAAACAACTTTAATGTATTTGAAATTATCAAAGTAATTTTAATCATTAAAATTTAATTCACATATACTATAAAATGAAGCATGCAATCTCTTTTAAATATGAAACTTAATAGTGATGATAAACTTTAAAAATGATGATAAAAGAAAAATAATTGTTTAGGACATTAAATAGCCACTGTATAATATATGAGCAAAGATAACATAACAACAAATGACTGGCTTTAACATAAGAAATAGTCTATTGTTGACAAATATAACATTCTAAATAAAAAAGCTAAGCCATTTTACAACTTTTTTTATACCTGAAGATTCTTCAAGTATCTGCAGCAGAATCTGTAAAATAACTGAAAGGCATACAGAAAGTAAAACAAAAAGCAAGGGAAAAGTTTAAAAGATAAATATCATGAAAGTCAAAGATTTTTTATAAAGATTTACTAAATTAAAGAGGAAGGGAAAATTATTACAGAAATTTAAAAAAAAATCTAAGCAATAAATAATAAAGAAACAAGAAATGAGAAAAATCTGATACAGTAGAACCTCGATTATCCGGACCTCTATTATCCGGATTGTTCAAAATAAACAAATATTTTATGAATTTGCTGATTTGCACTTGGAGAATTACAATACTGTTTATATACGTGATGGAATGCATAACGTTTTTTGTTTCAACAACGTCTCACCCGGCACAGTGCTTGTAAACTCTTAAATATATTTTGCGTCATAATAAAAATATAACTTGACATACGTATTTATAAATAATTTTATTTTCAAATTACATCATTTCTATGACCAAGGGCGGCGTAAAGCATGGGCAACGTGGGCCACCGCCTACGCCACACGGTCCAAAGGGCCTCATGTTTCGAAGGTTTATGCATTACTTAAAAGCCGCAAACACGACAAAAAAATTTTACTCATCATAAAACGATAAATAGTTTGTCAAATTTTTATTCATAAAAATGCAGTTTCAACTGCTTTTTATTTTATAAAATCCGTCTTCTTGCGCCACCAGAGGGCCTTTTAACAATAGGTAGTCTGTTAGCGTTGGTCAGTAGTAGTCCAAATTCAATACGAACGTTTGTTTCTTGAAAATTTGATCACGATTTAAATACAGTATTTACTTTTAATATTACCGATATGTCATCGAAAAGAAAACGTGTTGTATTATCATTAAAAGACAAATTAAAGTATTTGTTTCGATTATACGAATTTTCCCTTATCTGGACTACCTTCATCCCCAATTAGTCCGGATAATCGAGGTTCTACTGTATATTAAAAATGACCTATTAAATAGTATCCAAAGTTTATTTATATATAATAAATTGAAATTAACATATATTTTTCTAGTATGAAGGTTCGACAATGGCAAAAATCAAAGTAAAGAAAGTCTTCAGTTGATAAAATTTCTCCAGAAATGATAAAATAATAAACCATTATAAAATAAACTGAAATTATCTTTCAAAACAGAAATGAAGATTATTATGCTTAAAACTAAAATGAAAAATATAAATCAATACAAAATAAAAACTTATTTGTTTTTTGAAAAATACAAAACTAAAATTAGATAGTTTATATATTCAGATATCTTTAGCAGAATAATCCATTTCATTTCAAGGTATCAGTATTCAAAGCCCTGATAAGATGTACATTTACCCATTGTTCAAGTCTTATGAATACTATAAAGGAATTTGACTATGTTAAAGATATAGTATATTGGGATGGATTCATCAGATAAATGGGTGAGCAGCTAATAAGAAATTTTGAGAAAGATTTAGTTTGGAATAACAAAGAGAAAAACCAAACAGAAAGGCCAGTAAAAATAGCTAGATATAACAGGAAACTGAGAAGGATACTAGTAATAACAAGAAGCGGTATATGTTACAGAACCCCAACAATTTTCCAGGTATGATAAGGACCTTGTAGGGTCTACTAGTAAACCAGAGGTTTATGTGTACTGAGAGGACGAGATGTGAGGTTGAAAGGACATACATTAGAGTAACATTAGAACAGAGAGTTAAAGAACATGAACTCAGTGAAGAAAGGTTTATATACAACAGCATTTGTTGCTTTTGCTATGAAGCCAGAATTAAAGTACAATGGAAAGAAACAAATACCTATATAGGTCATATAATCCTTTATACAATCTATATGGGAAATTGTGGATTTTCATATGTTAGAAAAACTATGAAAACTATGAAAACATGAAAACTCTATGAAAACTATGAAAACAGCTATAGATATGTTTGGAAGTTAATAAATTTACTAATTTCATAACATTTGCTTTGGCTGAGATATAGCTTCAAAAGTTTTCAAAAATGTGACATTGTATCAAATGCAGGATTGCTTAAGATCTTTCAAATGCCTGAAGATTGTATCACAAAATATGATAGGTGCTCTGAAAGAAATTTTGTGAAAATATTAAGGGCTGAAGGGATATGAAATATTTGTAGTTTAGAATTTAAGAAACACATGATGCTTTATATTCTATGTAGCTTAGTGTTCAAATTTTGTCGTGTTCTTTTTGAAATGCAAGATTCCTAGATTAGTACACAAAATTCAGTTATGTTATTCATAATTTGGAATTTAAACTGTAAAGACATGAAGAAGTGCATTGAACATGTCCAAAAATATTAGTCTATACAGTTCATAAATTTGCTGGAGTTTAAGGTATGTGGTTATTGTATCTTTAACAGAAAACAAAATTTTCTTTTTAATTCTTTAAACAGAAATAAAATAAATAATATAATTAAGAAGTTAGAAGTAATAAAATATGTAGTGTTTTCAGTTTTTAGAACAAATAAGTCATACAAGGCATTTAAAAAAATTTTTTTTCTAATTTAATACATTATAGTTAAAGCTGTTTGAGTAAAAAATCACAAAACATAAAAAAGTGTGAATGATAGGAATTAAGTTCTAAAATGAATAAGTAGGAAAAAATAGAGAAAACAGAAAAAAGAATATCCAATATCTTTTCAGGTATGCTGTAAATGGCTGTAAAATGTTATGATTGGAAAACAACTTTTGAATAAATTTACAGAGAAAAGATAATTATGAATAACTCAAATAAAGATTGATGGGTAACATTAGAAGATATTTTGGATTATAAAAGGAATGGATATGAAAACAGCTATAGATATGTTTGGAAGTTAATAAATTTACTAATTTCATAACATTTGCTTTGGCTGAGATATAGCTTCAAGCAATATTATTTGTGTACTGTACATATACCTTGTATACTACTACTGTATATACAAGTCTGATGATAATTTTTACAAAGTTTGTTCATTCAGTTTGAAATACAGAGAATTTTTAAGTAATACTCAATGAGAAAATAATGTATTATTCTATAAATTCAATATAGTTAAATCTAATTTTCTTAATATTATTTTGAACTTTTTACATATGTAATTTTTAAAATAATTTTAAAAATAAAAAAATTAAACATTTAAATCAATACAATAGTGATATAAACCTATCTTAAATATTAATTCATAATATTGCTAATTTTTGAAGTAAAACTATCATAAAAAAAGCCAAATTTAAAAAAAAAGTATATATACTTCTCTAATTTCTTTAATTTTGGAGCCTCCTTTTCCAATCAAAGAACCACACTGACTAGCAGGTACAATAAGCCTTAAAGTGACAGGGGGTTTGGGAACATTGGTTCCTGCAATACTATTTTGTAGGTCCTAGAATCCAACATAATAGAATTACTAATTTTTAATTTCTTAAAGGATTAGTAAAAATATTTTACATGTAGTAATTAATGAAATTTCACCAATTTTCAAAAAATTACAATAAAATAAAAATGATTTAAAAACTGAAATGACCTCTTCAAACTTCCTGGCAATAAGAGAAAATGCTTTAAGAATAGCTTCTGTAGATCCAGTGATAGTAACAATACGTTCTGGGCAGGAACCATCTGAAATATTGATTCTTGCACCACTCTACAGAGAAAATAGCTTATTAGAATGACACTTATGAACTTAAATGATTTTTAAAGTTATTTTAACTATGGCAACATAAAAATCTAAAAACAGTAAAATCAAAACAATATAAAAAACTTCTCTTTACACAAAAAATACATTAAAATTAAATAAAATAAAATTGCAATGTTTCATTATATTCAATTATATATTTGTATACTTTTTAATATTTTAATACTACAAGATGTATTAGATTACACATATTTTCTAAAGCTTTGTTAATTTATTCTTTATACAAGGTACAGTTTATTGATTAAGTTTGTGGACTGAATTTATTAAAAAAAGTTTTTGTAAAAATGATTCAATTTGATATCTGTTTTCAAAATACACTTCTCTGCAATCACTACAAATTTTGACATGCTCTAGTAATTTTCTTAATAAAAGGCATTTGGTATGCCATTTTAGTTTCATCATTACAGCCTCTTAGATTTCCAAACTTGATTGAAATTGTCTTGTTTCAAAGCAATTTTAATTTGAGGAACAGGGAGTAGTTAGCTGGAACCAGTAAGCTATTATGAAAAACTTTTCTATCCAATTTTTCATGATATTGGTATTCATAGAACTAGAAGTAGTGACACTGACAGAAATGTTTTGTGACAGATTTATTTTATGAACTTTTTTGAGTCTATTGAAAATGATCAAAGATTTCAGAAATCTTCTAGAGAGGAAAATCTAACAATAGTAGTGAAATGTGTTCCTGTTTCCAGTGTCTCAGTTATTGACAGTTTTTTTTATATGGAAATGAATAGTCTTATCTTAAGCCAATCAAAATAGTGTGAAATTTCATCCATGCTGAATATCTTGTTCTCATCATAATTATTGATAATAAGCATTGTATGAAGACTATTAAAATAATCTACCACTTTCTTCTCTAACAATTCTTGTCTTTTTGGCCAATGTGTGTAATTTGTCTACTGGTTTGTCTAACACTTAGAAACTAGCAATACAGTAATACCCAAAACTTACGCAATAGGTGGGACCGAGCGATAACCGCTTAAGTCGAATTCGCGTAAGTCAGGGTATAATTTCTCAATTTGTGTAAAATCTAAGTTGGATGTATATAAGCTAATAAATATTCTCATTAATCTTATCTCGTCTTTTGATTCGTTCATTCATTGTTACAAGAAATCACCACATAGAATCTCTCGAGTCTCCATAGATATAACAAATATAGAAATAAATAACACAAAATAAATTGTAGCTATGTGTCGATTCTGCACGACACGTCCGAACGTGTAAGTTGAACAATAGTGTGGGGGGAATAAGTAATCGAGAGTTGCATGGCACTCACACAAAAGACGAATCGACGAGATTTGAAAATCGCGTAACTCCGGGTTCGTGTAAGTCGGGGTAGCGTAAGTCAAGGTATTACTGTACCACTATTCTCTAAGTGTCACATTACATTTCAACCCTTTCCTTCTCCATTGTGTAGATTGATCTACTTTTTGCAACTTCCCTCTCACTTAAACTGTATATGTAATTAATGGACAGCCTCTTTTATGGCACAGATATTACTCTTAATCCAAAAGAAAAATAATCAGTCATATTACTCAATTATTGTCTCAAAAGACAATAAGTATATCTTCCCAATGCACCTTTATGCTCAAAATTTATTTATTTTGGAGGATAACAAGTATCATTACTTCATACTTTGTGTCTGATTTTGGCTGATAATAATAGACACAAGTCTCACACCTCGTAACCATCCTAATGAAAAGAAAGATTTTACTGCAATTAATAGATGATTCAAACAGTGGATTGACAGAAAACTGTTTATAGACACATTCATAATAAGGAGAAAAATTCTGATTCTGAATCAGCTGTATTATAGATAAAGACAGAATGGCCAAAAATCAATTCTGAATATTCACCAAAAAATATTTACAATGCAGACAACATAGTACTTTATTTTTGTTCAAGGCCTTATACTTATTTATTTAAATATGAAAGTGTTAAAAGATTTTAATCACGAAGAAATGTATTACAGCTCTTCATTTTCTAGATTATGAAGGTAAAAAGAGACAAAGAATCATTCATTCTCAACAATATATTTGATTTCTATTGGATCATTTAAAGGTACAAATATAAGGTCAGAATAAGCCATTAATTAATTGCTATGCCAATGTCTCTTGAAATTCTGTCTATCACTATGGGCCTTGGACTTACAGATTGACTCATAGCAATCTTTATTGTAACTCTTTAAAAATACTATGTCAGTTATTTTTTTCACTCGACTCAATGCAACATAGATAAGACCGATAGCTCTCTCTTTTTTACCTATATCTATTTTGATTTTTGGAAGAGTTAATCCCTGTGATTTATGTATAGTCATCAAGTATGCTAAGGTAAGGGGAAACTGTCTATGAGATTGCAATATACTGCCATCATTCAAAGAGCATGTTATGGGAATTATTGGAAACAGATTACCATAGGTCCCTGATAGCTATCAAATTCCACTAAAATAAACCAAGTATTAGGAGCATATATAATGTAGCATATAGTTCCTAGTGAACCATTGACAAGACCTCCTTGCACCCATAAGTTGACTCTCAGCATGATTCTGGCATTAACTGAGAGATTCAAATAATTTTGTAGAGAAGTTCTGTTGTAATTTTTTCTCTGATGATGATGGTCATTGCCTGAAAGTGCTAAAGAAACAGTAGTTATTTTTTAAAATGTGTACTCCAATAAAGCAAAATTTTGAATTCTAAAATAATTATTCTTCCAATCATTTTCTTAAAATTTAAAAGTTACAGAATAAATTAATGTAAAAAAGGGCTGGCAGAAATTACAATTTAATAAAATAAAATTTCAATACAAATACTAGTTGTATCTTGCTTGCTTGCCATGTCCAATCACCTGGAACAACCATTCTTCACTGCAGAGATGACCTTTCTTTGTAGGCTACAGCTCTGCACAAATATGTAAAATAGTCTAAAATGTCCACANTGTGGACATTTTAGACTATTTTACATATTTGTGCAGAGCTGTAGCCTACAAAGAAAGGTCATCTCTGCAGTGAAGAATGGTTGTTCCAGGTGATTGGACATGGCAAGCAAGCAAGATACAACTAGTATTTGTATTGAAATTTTATTTTATTAAATAAGAATAAATTCAGTTATAAAGTAATACCCCGAACTTACGCAATAGGTGGGACCGAGCAGTAACCGCGTAAGTCAAATTCATGTAAATCGGGATATAATTTTGCATTTAAATACATACAAATAATTTTTAATTGGGGCCAGAGACTAAAGAAAACAATACAGTAGAGCGTCGATTATCCGAATCAATTGGGGACTGGGGTTGTTCGGAAGATCGATGTTTCGGATAACCGATTATGTACAAAAAAATATATTAATTTATCCCATCTTGACATTTTTCTCTGTTGCGTGTCGCTTCGCATTGAATTTTCGTCGATGTTAAGCCTAATGAAGACTATTGTATCGTTAAAAATTATTTTTTTATTTTGTACGAACAAAATAAATATATTGAAAAATATAAAAACAATAAAAAATTATACTTCAGAAGTTAATTTAGTATCAAAAACGTAAAATATTTGAGTAGCCAAAACATAGCCAAAGATTGCAGCGCCACAGCACTGGCGAAAATTTAAATTTGCCAACTGGAATTCTTTCGGATGATTGATGTTTCAAATGATTGACTTTCGGATAATCGACGCTCTACTGTAATTTAGAAAAAAATGTTTAATAAAATCTTAAATACATATGTATAACAAATTAGGCCTATATTATTTTACAATTTTTCACATTTACTTGATTATTACGCCATAATTTTAACATTGTTTCCATCTCAGCGATAATACTGTGACGTTTACGAATGATGCTTGAATTTAAAGATTGGGCATTTTTCACAGCTTCGAGAATTTTTTCTTTGCCTTTTATAATTGTTCTGACCATCAATTCCGGTAGATCAAATTCAGAAATTTTCATTTTTTGTATCGAAGTCTTTAATAATGGGTACATTCATAAACTCAAACGAGTTAAATGCGTTAGTAACGAATAACGATGACGTCATTCTCGTTTAACTCATTCGACTTTACGAACGTACCCAATGTTAACTTTACATTCCAAAGATAAAGTTTTTCTTTTCTTGTCTGATGCAGAATTAGTTCTACTTCGTTTGGATGACATAGTCAAGTCTCCATAGATATAACAAACACAAAAATAAATCACACAAAATAAATTGTAGCTATGTGTCGATTCCGCACGACACATCTAAACATGTAAGCTGAACAATAGTGTGGGGGGAGTAAGTAATCAAGGGTTGCGTGGTGCTCAAACAAAAGACGAATCGATGAGATTTGAAAATTGCGTAACTCCGGGTTCGCATAAGTCAGGGTGGCGTAAGTCGAGGTATTACTGTATTCAACTTATAATATAAAATTTAAAAATCTAACAAGACAGTAAGAATGACAACACAATTTATATAAAACTCTTGCTGTTCTGTATGTCAGTCACATTAGCTATTATTTTAAATCATATTATTCAGTTAAAACTGAAAAAGATACATCTAATGAATTTATCAATATCAAAGAATATTAGCAGATTTTTAAAGTTAGATATATCAAATGCAAAAAATTTCAATATTTTGGTGTTAGAATATATAAATTAAAAAAATAAACTTATAAAAGCCAGTTAAAACTTAATTTTTGAATATTTTCAATATATACATTATATCTTTGTCAGAAAAATTTACAGATAATATTAGAGTACATTTTAGGTTTAAATTATATTATTATTTTAAATAAATTTTTTTAAACATTCTTAAGTATAAAAAACATATTAATGTATAATAAAATATAAAGATGATAAAATTAGGCATAGATATTAACATCTTTAAAAAAATAATAATCTACAGAAAAAATCTATGATGTGCCATCTACATCAGCTTAAAAGCTGATGTAGATGGCACATCAGGGTGAGACATAAGTATCACTTTTT